CTTGCAACATGAAAGAAGTGCAGGCAAACAAAGAGCCCCAGGGAAAGAAGTGACAAGCGGCAGCTGGAGCCAGCGGGTGACTTGCCGAGTGACAGAGCAGTTGGGCTCCTCGCTACTCTGCTACTATTTTGGAAACTTCAATAAACAGAAGAGGCCAGATCAATCTCTCACTGCTCCAGCACAAACCCTGAGAAGCCTCGTTGACTTTGGTGGCAACGGCAGCCTGAGACACCAGTTTGTCCATATGCACTGTGCTTTGTTTGGAGCCTGGGCAAACTCATCAGAAATAGCCACTGAAAACATTATTAGCAGTCCACTAATTATCAGGTCTCAGCTCCTTAGCTAGTGAAAGCTTGCACCAAGGAATTCATGCTCATTTGTGCCATGGAGAATATGACTGTTTAACTTCCGTGCGGGAGCTTTCAAGCAGCTGGAAAAAAACTATGGGTATTTATATTTTTAAAAAGGGATTGTTTTTGCCGCTGTCCATTATTAACGGCTCTCAGGTCAGGCTAAGGAACAATGCCAGGGGTAAATTACCCTGTACGCTATTCATATATGCTCTCCCCAGTTGTTTCCTTCTCAACTAGAGGATTCACCTTGCAGTGAACTCCTTGGCGTTTAGAAGAAAAGGACTGATGAAGCGATGAACTTGGAGAGCCCGTTTATTTATGCATCAACAGCTTTCCTACTTTGTCAGGTGTGTTTAATCAAAAAGAAGCAGGAAATGCATTATAATTATAAACATATTACTGCTTAAGAAAAAGGCTGCCCTTGCAAAGGATTGTAAATGGTTACAGTGAAAAAACACAGGCTTAACCTATGAAGCTCTTTGCTAAGATCAAAGCAAAGCTGCCTGCCACCACAGGCTGCCTGTGCAGCAGGATTCAGCTCTGAGTTTGCAGCAAGGGAAGTGGAAGAAAGTTAAAAAGAAAATGCAATCTCCTCCCTTCCTTTTTTTTTTTCCCCTGAAACTTTTCCCCTAGTATAAAAAATGACTCAAACATTAAATATTTGCTGTTAAATTTAATAGAATTAGTGACGAACCCAGCTGAGAACACAATAATTAGGGCCTGGTCCAAAGCCCCTTGCTGAAGCCCCTGGAGAGACTTATTGTTTTCAACGGGATCTGGCTCGGGATCCTGGTGAGCCAAAGCAAAGATGGAGTTACAGCAAAACCCTAGGAGATCCTGGATCTCCTGCAGTCTTTCCATGTGACCTTGCCCAAACTTGCAAGCATTCCTTAATCCCAAGCATAGCCGAACCTGAGTCAGTAATCTGCCGCTGCTGCAAAAAGCAGAAGTCCTTCTGGGCTGCAAGACTGGGAGTGCTGTAGGTAAGATGCAGAAGGGGTTTATTGCCCTTCTCAGCACTGCAAGGCTGAGCCACAGCCCTGCACGTAAATAATAATAAAAAAAATACAGACAAACTGGAAATTGTCCAGAGGAGAGCAACAAAAATGATCAGAGGTCTAGAAAACATGACTTATGAGGAAAGATTGAAAGGGCTGGGTTTGTTTAGTCTACAGAATTTGAAACATCCTAATAAACTTTAAAGATGTAAAAAAATATATGGTATCAAAAAGGGTAATTGATTGCCCTTTATCTCTGTGGGGATGGCAGAAGATACAGCAACGAAGATTCAGGATAGATAGTGTTAAAAGCTGTGAGGTTAATAACGCACTCAAGTATGTTACTTAGGGAGGGAGCAGAGTGTGTCTCATGGGAGATTTTCAATGTGTTGGACAAGTACCTGCCATAGGGGACTGGGTAACTCACTGTCCCATGGAGACATGCTTTCAGCCATGTGGTCCTATGGTTTCCATGATCTAGTGACTGTCTTGGGACACCCAGGAATGAGACCTTGGAGGTGATGAGCTTTCGCAGCACTCCCTGATTTGAAAAAAAGTGGCAGGTGCTCAGCCCTTCTAAAAGTTGACCCCCAAATCAATGACCCTGTCTTAAAACCCTCTTTTACTTGGCTTCCATGGTTATTAGATAAAAAGCAACAAATTCCCACCCCCTCATGGGGCTGTCATTGTATTTGCGAAGTACCTTGCTGCTCTCCCATGGGGGATTCCCATCTAAGCAAGTGCTCAAATGCTCAAATATTAGGATGATGAGCCCTCTGGGAAAGCATGTGGTGACTCAGAAAGTGTTCCACATAGTGGTGGCCTTGCAGATCCTGCTCAGGAAAGTCCCCTTCTGACACCGGAGAAAGGGGTACCTTGGTCAACCTTTGCTAGAAGTGCTTTCACCTGTAGCACCACTGGGTATGACAATTGCAAAGCACTTGGGATGGCACTAGGTATTGCTCTAGGTGGGCCAGGTGGTGGCCAGCACCTGATTAGAAAGGCAGCATCCCTTCTCCCCATCGTGTCTGCCCTGGGGCTGTGTATCCCCTGCCCTGAAGCTGCATGTGCCTCCCTCTGACCAAGTGACTCTGCTGGCCCTCACTGCCTCAGTAAGGCTCAATACTGTTCTCTGGTTTCAGCCCTTTTTGCAACAGGCCCGAAAAGCTTTGGTCAGAGTTTGCATCAAAGCAAATTGACCACAAGACAGAAGTCTATCAGAAATGAGGCTTTGTATTTACTGCCAGCAAACCCAAATTCCTTGAATTATGGGCATGAGGTGAGGAGTCTGTGAAAGGAAGGAGCACAAGGTTGCAGCCAGAGTGGAGCTAGCCGTAGCCTTTATCATCTCCAAGGCTCTGGGGGTGATGTGAGGGCTCCCCAAGGGCTGGGGGAAGGATGCTGTGCTCAATGCTGCTGTGACCGTGCCTCCTCTTTGCACACCCCATTTCCTGCCCAGCTACAGCTGTGCAAGGTACTATTTGGTCCCCACATGAATGCTGAGAAAATCACTAGTTATATGATACGGGAATTAAAAAAAATCTGTTTGCTTGCAAGCATAAACCAATGACTGTGGTGATGGTTTGCAAACATGGGGTTATGGCCCCAAGTCAACTTTTTTTCCTCCGTTCTGGGTACAGTCACGAGCCTGGCAAGAATCCGTGTCAGCTAAAATGCATGGCAGCAACTGGCGTCTCCTGGAGTTTTGGAGCTGAGTGGGGTCACAACAGGAAGGAGTTTGGGAAGGCGGCACTGCAGGGTTAGGAATAAACATCTCCCTGGGGGAGACTTTCCATAATTGGCCATGACAAGGCTTCTTTCTCCAGAGAGCTGGAGCTGGCCTGGCCTGTGGGGAAGCAGAATGAATCACTGCTCTGGTCCAATTTGGCAAGTGCCGTGATTTAGCCCTGCTTTGCATGGGGAGGAGATGATGATATAGACTGAAAGACAGAGGAGAAACGTAGCCAAAGGCTTCCGTGCTGGGAGATGAGTTTGGGTTCCCACTCGTTTTTTGCAGGTTTACTCAGATCCTTAGAAGGAAACCCTGGCAAAAACAGCTGCTACGAAAACAATTCCCTTTATCAACAGTGCAGAGGGAACAATGGGGACTCCTGAACACAAAGCTCATACAAACAATAATAACCATTTTATTTCGCATTGTTAAAACAGCAGTTGATACACAATTCTTCCTTCCAGCCCCCCACTTCATTAACTATTTATGTCGCCCTTCTGCTTCCAGATACAGATTTATGGGAGGGGATCTTAGCATTTAGAGTTGGTGTCCCGCAATGTGGTCGTGACCACATGGCTGTGCAGCCTTCTGTGAAGAGGTGGGTTGAGTGTGGTTTCCTCATGCCACCCTGTACCCTTTGAAAAGTCCCACTTTCTTTCAAATATGAGGAAAAAGGGGTGTTGTTTCTGACATACTTTCTCTGGATGGTGGTCATCATTGCTATCTTTTTAAAGCTTCTTGCTATCTCAGCAATCTTACCAAGCCTGGTGACCTGACAGCAGCTCACAGCCTGTTCAGTATCTGATGATTAATCCCCTCCCTTTAAAAATATGCACTTAGTGGCAGAACCACAAAAATATTGGTGGAGCCAGAGCTGCTTTGCCAAGTGGCAGACTTAGACTTGCTCTTCTTGGAAAGCTGGTTTCCTGTCACTGGCTTTCTCTCCTTGCTGTTTTCCAGTGGTTTGGAGAGAGGAGAAAGGGGAAAAAAAATTGTTTCTCCCAAATGCCTCTTCTCTTTTACATCCCCTGTCCTCCATGTGTCCTCTCTGCTATTTCACATTTCAGGAATTCCATCAGCCCAAGGGCTTCCTAACTAACCCCACTGCTATCCCCAATGCAAAAGGAGAAGCAAGCTCCCTGCAAAACAATATCCCTCTAAAAAGAAGACGCAGACAATCTTCATTTCCATCCCACCTTCTCCTGCTCCTTTGGAGAGCAGGCAGGTGGAACAAAAATCTTCCCTGCACTGTGAAAGAGTGGTAGCTGAGAAAAGTCAAATCTGCATCTTGTTGCAATGTGAGAGTTCAGATCAAAGCATCAGCCTTTTGCTAATTTCTAATTTGATGTTAGGAACATTAAAACTTTATTTCTTGAGATGACTACCAGAGCTAACACAGGCAGCTGCTGCTGGGCTGGTTACAAGACTAGAGCTTGGGGCTTCCTATTCTAAACGCTCCCACCACTCGGAATGGACAGCTTGGTCAGCACCGAGCAGCAAAGGGCCGTGGCATGCAGCTGAGTTTGCATGCTAACAAATGCAGGTTACCCAGATCTTCCTTTCCCTGGAGATAGCAGCATTCATATTCACCCTTCATTTTAAAGTCTGCACAAGGCCAAATCCTGCACCAGGTTCTTACCCAGCGTATTTTTCCTGTTTTCTGCTGAGACTCTGGGCAAGGCCTCCGGGCTGGACTTATCAGCACCATATGCAATACTGGCTCAGGTGAATATGGCATGAGCACAAAGCTCATGACCTTTCTGGCAGAGCGTTTGGGGAATGACTAACGCTTCTGGTGCCTTCAAGGTCAGGAGTTTGTGGGACCCCGTGAGGATTCCCCATGTGCTCTCTGCAGAGCAAGGTGGGTCCTTTCTGGGAAGGAAAGCACAAAACATCCTGGGAATTACCAAAGGTCGTTTAGAGAAGGTTAGAACAGGGAACACACTGGAGTGTAAGGCACCCATGGTCAAAGAGTTTGTGTGGCAGTTTTCCCTTTGGTGTCCATGTGTCAGTCTCTGGATCATAGCAGTCCAAGGAATCCAAGTCCTTGATGACATTGTCCACAGTGAGACATCGTCCTCCTGTGACATACAGCTTGTTCTTGATGACAGTGGCCCCGTGATGCATTCGTCTGTCCTTCATGTCTGCACATTTAACAAACTTGTTGCCTTTTGTATCATAAGCAATTATTCTCCGGGTGTACCCTAAATGCAAAGCCAGAGGTGGAAGAGACAGATGGGAATTAGAGCTTACGGCCAGCAGAAGGATTGATAATATATTTCCTGCTAGTCTTCAGTAAAACCTATTATACTTGTACATAATTTGGCAGAATTAAGATATCTAAGATGGAAGTGATGATGTGTCACAAGAATGTGTCTGTCTCTCTTCCCTTCCTGTTTGTTCTCACCCTGTCTCATACCACCTTGGCAGCCAAGGCTCGATGAGCACCATAAAACCCAGCAGTTCAGGCAAGCAACCTGGCGAACACAGCTGGAGCTTGTAGTTTTCTGCATGTGCCCAAAGCATTTCTTTTCACCTAACAGACTCCTAGAGCTTCACTCAGAAATACAGAAACCAATGGCACATGGGAAGGGAGCAACAATGCCTTGTTGGGTTGGAGTCGTAGCTGTCTACTGAATGGAGGTGAGTACTCAACAGCACGGCACCACCAGTGCTCGCTCCACTCCCAAAGCCCTCGGCACCACGTCTCTGCTGGCCACCATGCTAGTGACCCAAGGGACAGCTATTCCACAGAGGGGTGATGTAACCTCGCATCTGCTGAGAGGTAAGGGCTGGTACCAGGGCCATTGCCTTGGAGCAATGGAGGTCTGGAAGCTTGGTACCAGGCAGTACTGTGCCCATGTATTCCTGTAGGTAATCAAGAGTGCCCATGGCAAACTGCTCTGGGCCATGTTTTTGCAGGCCTTAAAGCCACTTTCCCTAACAAAAATGAAGGTCTGTCTTGCTTAGGCCAACCCACTCACCTTTGTTATGATGTGAACAGTCATGCAAAGAGGACGTGAAATGTGATGAAAGCTATTTTTAAGAGAACATGTTATTTTTGTGGATCTTACTGTTGTTGATAAACTAGGAGTGTTTGGCCAATGTTTTGGCATGGAAGCTGGTAAATAAAACCTGACCATGATGAATCTCTCGACTTTCAAGCAAAATGAAAGATGTTTAAAAGTAACATTAATTTCTGTGGCTTTTGTTAGATAAATAAAAAATAAATTGAGAACTTAAGCTCATCATCAGCAGACTTGGGTCAATACAGTCCCTTCAGGTTAATACATTTGAAGATAAGAGAGTTGAAAATACTGTATTTTGGGCACTGTGGTCTGAGGTCAGGGTAAACTGCCACACAGGAGCCTGATGGTCTTGGGCCTTTTGTCCCAGCTCTCCCCTGTTCTCACTGCAAAGGGTAGCAGTGGCCTCCCGCTGGGAGATGACATCGCGTTTGAGTCCTTTGTGATTTGGGTCCAGTCCTCTGCTCTGCTAAAGCTTCTCTATGTATCATTTTCCCTTAAATAATCTAACACATGCTTCCTCATGCCAGCCTGTGGTCAGGGGAGCTGCATTAAGGACTGTAGAGTGCCAAACTACAAATGACATGTGATCCATCAAAGTGCCATGGGCAGAGGCTGATCCTCAGGTTGAAAAAGATACTGAGAAGTTTCCCCTCTCCGAGTGTTTCACGGCCCTCTCAGGACATTTCACAATTACCCCCAGGAGACAGCTACAGGAATGATGAACCCCTCATAGCCCTGTTGCCCACCCATCCCAACAAGCTGTCCATGGCCTTGTGGAAACTGCACTCTCTGCCCTTCCAAGGAGAGCAGTCAGGGAGGGCCAGGCTGTGAGTCAGCAGGGGAGGAGCAGGATACCCATGCCCTTGGCTTCCTCTCTTCTGCAGAGCAGTAACTTGCATTGGCTTTTCCCCAGTTTCCCCCCACCCAGGTCCTGCTACTTGGAGTAAGAAGGGGCCTCATGGAGAACTTGTCTCCACTTCCATGGCCATGAGATCCCATGAGAGATGTGTATGGAGGATGGACACACTCCTCCTTTCCTTTCCAAGCTCCAAGTGCTTTTTGAGGGAGCACCCCAAGGAGGAAGTCTGTGAAATCCTGCAGGAGCTGGGCAGGGGGAGGCAGGAGGGAGGGTGAAACAGAGCCCTTACCACCTACGATGATAATCTGGTCTCCAATCACGACAGCTGGTGCACAGACATTCTTCACCACCCTGGTCTCCATCCGAAACCATGTATTCCTGGAGACATGGTAAACCTGACAAATAAATAAAGATCCACACACAGCTGTTTATGTTGCATTTTAACTGGCAATTGTAATTACAGAGGAACTTATGGTTTTTATTTTGTCCTAATGAATACAATCCTCTGGCTTGAACCACTGGGAATCCGAGAATTTACCCACTTTTTTTTCCTAATATGTCCCCTTGGAAAGAGTTCTAGTTCTCCAGGCTTGTCTGCTCAGGAGATGCTAGCACAAGCACTAAGGCAGAGTGTATAAGCTTCTCGGCTGTAAATCTTTGCATGGCCATTAAATCACTATAACTCCTGGATAACGCTTTCCCAAAGTGCAAGCCATTTAATTTCATTTTCCAGTTATTCTGTGTATCCCTGCCTTAGCCTTAGCAATTTCCTGGGAAGAAAACGTCAACTTCACCTAGCTTTGCTGGCAGCCACTGTGTTTGCCCAGCTGCTATATTTGTGCTGGCGGCTGGTATGCATTCAGATTGGCAAAGGGACTTGTTGATGGGACTTAGAGTGGTATCTAAGTCATCAATTTATGTGAGAAAAAGAGCTGTTGCCAGATGATGATCATTCAGTCATCTGTATCTGGGCGATGCAAACTTTTATGTCACGTCATCCGCTTCTTAATATAGCAGATATCTCCAGGACATCTCCCCACTAACTGATAAATACATTTCCTTCCCCCTGATAATCAAGTAGCATTATCACCATAAAGTATTGCTCATGTGCTGGCTGCCATCTTAGCCTTTAATGATCCTTCTTAGTTAAAACACCTAAACCACTGAAAAACACTCATGGGGAAAGTAACACCACAATGTTGCTAAAGCATCAAATCAGATAAGAAAGGATTTCATGTATTTTTTCCTCCTAATAGAGTGTAACTGCTGAAAACAGGCAGAGAGCCAGCAACACGTGGCAGGAGCCACATTTTTAACACAACTGTTTATATGAAATAACTGTCAGTTTAAGTTCTGGCCCTTTGATGAGTGAGAATCTAATCGCTCTAATGATCGTGAACCTTTGCATTTGCTGCAAGGGGGCAGGTGCACAGCTGAGACCCCAGCTCAGCTGCCAAGTGGAAAGCAATGATTTTGGTGAGATTGGCTACAGGCATGAAGCCAGGCAGGGGGGTTGGCCACTGCCTGCTATAGCATCGCCTGCAGTAGCCCTGGCCCCAGTGCCCACCAGTGGCAGAGCTGACTGACACCCAAAGAAGCACCTCGGGGCTTGTGCCTGAAAAACACTCAAAGGGGAAAATGAAAGAGTTGCAATGCTCCTTGCAGACAAGACTTCCCTGAAGCCACGTGTCAACTCATCCTGCCTGTTGCTGCAACTCACAATAAAATTTTTTTGAGGGTTTGATCTCCTCAGGAGGGTGATGAACTGCTGAATACCTTAGATGAAACTGCCTATGACAAGCAGGACTGAGCATTACCTGGATCAGCCGGACAGGGTTTTGCATAATGTCTTCTCCCCCAAAGAGGTAGACCCTCTGATCTTTGGCAGCAACAGCAGGGTGAAGGACGGCAACAGGCATGTTTGCCATGCTCTCACAGGTGTTGTAGACACTATCGTATCTTTCCACAGAATTCAGGATTTCCTGGTTTTTGCCAATTCCACCAAATGATAAAATATAATTTTTATATGCCAAACTTCTGTGGGAGTATCGTGGAACCAACATGTGCTCAGCCAGCCTCCACTGATTGAGTTTGAGGGAGTAAATGTAAATATTATCACTGACTGGGCTCTTCTTATTGCTAACAGGCATCCCTCCAAGCACACAAATATTGCTGTGTAAACTCACTGCAGAGGCTTTGTACAGGCGCATGGGAAGTTTGGCCAGGCTTAGCCATTGGTTCGTCTTGTCATCATAGAGCAGAACATCCCTTGTCGTCTGCTGGCTCTCCTTCCTGCCACCAATGATGATGAGGAACTCTTGGTTGGAGTACCTGCGAGGAACATGCAGCATGGGCTTGATGTCAGGCGTGTTGGTGCTGTACAAGGAAAACATATGTCTCCGGGCTGACTCAAGGATGCTCCTGCAAGTGGGCGAGGACTGAACAAGGGAGTCATTGGCGATGAAGTGGAAGAGGAAAGTTGGATGGACATACTGAAGTCGGACCTTCTTGAACAACTCTTGGATGTAGCCTTGTCTTGCCTGGAGGTCATGCCGGATCCAGATCATCAGTGTCTCAAAGACCTGCTCCTCCTCCCCGCAAAGCTCATCGTCCCCAAGGTAATCGATGAGCTCCAAGGGACAAAGGTCCTTCAGGTCCTCAGAATAGGCCACCTCAGGAAAGCATTTCAAAGCCATAGCCTTGGCTTTCTTATTCAGGCTTTGGCAGTTCAAGACTTTTGCCAGTCTGATCATGCTCAGACAGTTGTCAGGAGTCAGCTTGTCTTGAAGGTATGCAGAGCAGGCCTCAAAAAGCTTAGCATACTGCAGCATGGAGGCTGTCTCCAACAGGCACAGGACATTCTCAACGGATATAAGAATCTCCCCTGTGTAAACGTAAAGGATAATCTGATCTAAAATCTCGGCGTCAATGCCCTTCAGGATGACTTTAGCCTGGCGACTCTCTCTGAAGTCGTTACAGAACATCGCCTTGAAGTATGGACTGCTGGAAGCCAGCACGTTTCGATGGCAGGGGATTTCGAAGCCCCCGGAGCAGAGGGTAACATCAGTCAGCATCCCACTCTGCCGCAAAGCATTCAGCTGCCTCAGCAGTTCAGAGGAGAAATCCTCATCTTTGAAGAGAAACCTCTCAGTGGATTCCTCCTCCATAGCAAAATAGGAGAGAGATGAATTCTGGACTTGACAGAAAAAAACAAATTCTTAGCAGCTTTTACTGAAATATCCAGCTCCAAGGGAACAAATCGGGACTTTGATGTTGCTCTAAATATCCGTTCGCTGTTGTGCATAAAAATGGAACATGCATTAAGCACAGTGGGAAAATAATAAAGAAGCTAAAAGGTCGCTAAGACCCTTTAAAATTTTCATAAAGTTATCAGCTAGGTTGCAGCTCTGAGGTCAGCACTGCCTATGTCCCTGGCAAGAAGCAAAAGCACTGAAGTTATCTCACTGGTTTGGGATGAAAGCTGGACGGCTGAAGCAATTGGTTTGTTTGTTTTAATCACATTGAATAAATGTGCTTAGACATTTATTCACTGTTTTAAAGTATTAGCAGTTTAGTAGCTTGCGCCTCTTTCCCCTAGAGTTAGTCACTCCCAAAGAATGTAAATCTGGCAGAGCCGAACTCTGCAGCAGAGCAAACGAAACCCTAGAGACTGGGAATCTGCATTAAAACGGTTATTTATTAACCCTGCTTAGCTGTGGGTTTTTTTATGTTAATCAGACACACAATGACTAAATTAAGTGCCAGGCAGAACAATATGATGAGTATCTATTGTCACGGCTAACTGCTCAACCTGCAGTGAAATGGTAGGGTAGAAACGTTTACCTTCTGTTGTCCTTCACTGCATGCACTTACTCTCTGTCGTTTATTCTCTGCTGAGATTTTCCATAGCTAGAGCCTGGATAAAAAACCTATAAACCCACAGGACGTTTCTTTCAGTAGGTAAGTGATTCATAGAGGGTGATTTCTGGACGTGTTTATTCTGAAGTCACTTTTGCCGCTTTCGGGAGCTGTGCGCAGGAGCGGCGAGGCGGTGGGGCATTGTATACATTCCAGCGCTAAGAATAGGCGCACACGGGCTTCTCGCTGTTATCACATGTGACGCCGCCGTTGCCTTTTGGAATGACCTGGCCGGTACTGAGCATGCCCAAGTGGTGTTTTTCTGGCAAATGTTTACATATAATAAATAGACACAGAGAGGAAAGTTCACTTATAAAAGTCCTGGCTGTCCAGTTGGAAACAGCGGCAGGACCCTGTCCTAAAGTGCCTGGGAACTCTAGAAGCCTGTAAACAGTCTGCAACGCCTTGCACTAGGTAATGCACTGTCATGGTAGTTTCATGGAGAAAGATGGATAGAGAAAGGCTTCCAGGGACCCCGGTGGGATGGACCGTGTCTCCACCTCATGGAGACATCTGGGGAGCATTGGCCCATTGCAGTCTGGTGGGAGACGCTGATGCACCAGGACCCCTGCGCACAGGGCTGCCCCAAGGTGGGCAGGGAGAGCCCAGCTACCTCTGCCAAGCAGAGAGTGACGTTCACTCTTGGAGCAGGTTTTCTTTATGATGCTGCTTGATATTTCATATAGAAAATATCAGGTTGTGGCCTTTTGTGTAAGGACCCCAGCTCTCTGAAACCCTTAGCAAAGAACTTCTCAAGCAGGTGGTTCGAGGAAGCTCAGTGTTACGGGTGGGAAGACTGGAGCCAGTTGCTGAAGTGAGTGCAGCAAGCTGGAAACCAGGGTCCCAGGGTGGCAGGTACCCAGATGGCACTTAGCTCCACAGGGCAGACACCTCAGTGGGGTCCCTAACTGCAGATGCCTGCACATGAACAAGGTGCTCAAGCTCCTTTTGCAGCCAGTGAGGTCTAGTCAATACAACCAAGTCTGCTGAGTTATTCAAGTCACTGGTAAGTACCACCTATATTTGGGCAGGTGAACAGTCCTCCAGGCACTTCTAGGTCTCCACAGGTGCTCAGCTGCCTCAATCACCTGTAGGTGTCCATATCTAACACTCCCATGTAGATATCTGCGATGATGAGCCTAAATCCATCCCCAGGGCTGGGACCGGTCGAGGACCCTGTGCCACCAGAGGATCCTCCACAACCCCAGCTGGCCCCCGGCTGGGGTCTCCAGCAGGTCCAGTATGATGTGTCCCAGCTCTGTGCCAATTTCCTGGGTGTTTCAAGAAAAATGGCATTGGCTGCCCATGCCTGGGTGACTGGATTGGGCCCCTCATCTGTGCTGAAATTCCTCCCTTTGTTCTGGGATGGGATTGAATCCAAAATGTTGTTTCTAAGCATTGCTACCACAGGGAAACACAAGGTTAAAGCAGAACTCCTTCTCATATTTTCAAAGCCAAAGCTCATGGGTGAGTCATGTCTGTGTCTAGTCACAGCGAGGCAGATGAGCAAAAATTGTTAGGAGCCACAGTGCCCTTATGTCAACTCCTGTGCCGCGCTGGTGTTCGCAGCCTGCCATATGGTCCTGCCCCTGTGTCCATGGCCCAGCAGGCTGCAGGGATGGAGGCAGCCTGTCCCTCTAAAAACAGCAGCTTTGCATCACGGGTCGTGCCGTACGTGGCCTTTCCCAGAGACTTTTCAGTGCAGCATAACAACACGGTGAAACGCCTGAAGGCTAGACAAAACCCTGAAGGCCCAGACCCGCGTTAAAGACAGGGTGGAGTTGAGCTGGCATAGCTTTTTGGAGGCTGTGGCACCTTCCCTTCCTGCACAATCTGTGCGTGCGTGTGCACACGCATGTGTGAACAGGCAGGCGAGGTAAGGGAGGGGAAGGGCAGGAGCCACTGGACTTGGCTCTTGCAGATGAGTCACTTCGAGGGTAAACATAGCAGTGTGCAGCCCCTTCCCTCTCCTCGGCTAAAGAGACGACCCAGAGGATGATGTTGGGGCGCTGGGGAAAATGCGCCCTCCCCTCCCTACTCCCTGCCGCCGCTGCCTCACCAGCTGGCCATGATCTTGCTATAAATATTTAGAGTGGCATTAAAAACCCAAAGGAGAATTTCTCTCTCCTCATCCAGAGAACATTAGCTACCCAAACAAAACACCCTCTTGCTTTCTTTCTTGCTCTGTATGTATATGCTCTCATTGCGGTCCGTTCTGATGATTGATTTCGCTTTGTATCTCTGTTCTGGCTCTAACTCTTTGCTGCCTGTTTAGTTCTGGCTCTTCCTGGCAGTGGCTGCGGATTGTTTTTTTAACCCTTAAAGAAACAAATGATGCTATCTGACTTCGCTAATGACACTGTTTTATGGGGTCGGGGAAGGGTAGGTGGGATGTTCTTCTGCTTTAGATGCTGATAAATGTGGCATTTATTTAGAAGATCCCAGGCTCGAGGGCTTTGCATGGTTATGCAAACTCCTGCTAACCCAGAGTACAGCGTGTCCTGTTTAAATAGCTTATTGCTCTCGGGGGGGTTGCTGTTCCCTGCTGAGTCCCCACACAGGTCCCTGCCAATTTGGGGCCAAGGATCCCAAGCAAGGAAGCTCCGGCTGCCTGCTTTACAACTCTCCCTTCTTTCTCTCCCAGAGATTATGGTTTCAGAGACATCTCCAACCAAGTGGGCACATCAGCACTGCTTAGTTAGGATTTCCTTTATAAATAAACTAGAAATAATTTTTCATGGCATACCCTAGAACAGTGTGTCCTATATGGCCCCTACTGCTGCAGCATGACCCCCGGTGAGAGGGAAGAGCTGTTTCATCTGTGGGACAGCGTATCTTGTCTGAGAAAGTCTGTTTCTGAATGAGTTCTTGAGGCAGGTTTCCTAGGTTGGCATGCTATTGACTGAACCAGGTCTGAGTGGTCTTTTTTGGGAGGACAGGATACTGCATTAACCACGGGAGCAGGATGTTGCACAAATAACGGGGCTGGTCTGAACACCATGTGCAAGTGGGAAAGTGGGCTTTTTCGCAGGTTATGTGACCCAGCAGCACTGTGGGGACATGATACTGCAGGTCCCCCATAGCCCTTGTGGAAGGCTGGAGCCATTGGGGGCTGTAAAAAACAGTGACCCACTGCAACCGCTGCTGAATGAACTCCATCAATGGCCAGTTTCTAGGAAATGGAAATGTCTACCAAAGAACAACCGCTTTGCTGCAATGCTGTATACTCACCCTGCTCCTTCTTCTCTCTCTCCTTAAGTGTTTGGGATTGCTCCGTTCTGGAATTAGGACGGTTGAACCTTTGATCTCACCCAGAGCAGCTCTTCTTATGTTTTAATGTAATGGGATGATGAAATGTCTATTATCATGTGCTAAGCAACAGAGTGGAAAAAAGCTGTAATCTAATCGGCCAGCAGACAGGTGCACAGAGAAGATTGGTGATGTCAGACAACTTCTAGAACTCATACACTGATCCTATTACAATTCAGGTGAAAATGAACAAATATGGATAAGGAAAAAGGACTGTTCAAGGCAGAGATTTCACTGAGCTTATCCAGTGTTACGTGCACTGCCTCGACAACCACCAGGCCCCACAGTTATCAAGAGAGAGATCATCCCTTTCCCCAAATTTGCAGTCTAAATAGGCAGGGGGGCAAGAAAAAATATTGCTTCTTATGGTCTTTGTAAAACTGGGAGAGGGAACAAAACCCAGGATTAACATTCCTCATTGTAAAAAGAGACAATTACAAGGACCATAATTAATCGGATGCCATGAGTTGGAGAGGATGGGAAGATGCCCCAAGCAGCAGTGGTGGCTGGCTGGGGTGGCAGCCTTCAGCCCAGGCTGGGAGAGCAGCCAGAACTGCCTGGGATGCTGCGTGCCCTGGCAGTGTGGAGCTTGGTCAGTGGGCGCTGACCAGGGTAAGATGGGCACCTGACACCATTTTCCTTATTTTAAGCTGGAGGGGAGAGAAATATGGGAGCAGAAAGGAAGTCTAATGTGTTGGGGAATTATTAGATTTATGTATTGCATATTTAAACATGCATGTATACATATATAATGAATATGTGCATTAAAAGAGCAAAGATATGTCTATACTAGCAAATTACTATCAAGAGATAGCATGGATATGTTTATATGCAACATTTATGTCTGTATCTCTCCCAGCTGATAACAACACCAGGAGACCTAACTCCACATGTGATGTCTGGGTCAGACCTGTGAAGGAAATACTTCCCCCCACCCAGC